GGGGCGGCACTATTTTCGCTTGTATAAACCTCATTGTTTGTGTCTATAGCTTTTATTTTTCTCATTGTCACAAATACCTTTGGGGTTACTTTTTCTGTTTACAATCATAACAGCAGATGTTTGTTTTGGACAATATGAATGCCATATGTGTGACGACGGGGTGAAATCAGGCGATCGTCACAATATTGAAATCAAAGAAACAGGTTTTGTATTTGTTGGCCAGTTTTTATCGATTTTGTAAACCTCAACACCTTTTAGGTCCATTTAAAAACACAATAACGAGTGGGTGTTGCAGGAAAACAATGATGTTAAGCTCTAACACCGCCTGACCCCCCCCCCACCCTCAAACCTGCTTCAATCATAAATATCGCGTCTTGTATTCTAGGTGGATGGGTATTTTCCCTAATAAATTAACTCCGTAGCCCTAGAAATGATGAGTGCCTGATTCCACTGTGTCTGTACATAGTAATGTCATACATATCGTACCACCGTAGAAGCAAAACTGTTAAAGACCCCTTGTTGGTCCTAAAATCAATAAGTGTAGTCTTCGATTGCTATCCGGGCAAAATTCAAAATTACTTCCTATCAAACTGGAAATGTTTAATGTGTCCCACGTGCTCATATAACTTCATCCAGTCGCGAGCGCCGTTAAACACTTACACAAACAAGAACAAACAAACAAACAAAACAAAACAAAGCAAAACGATTACATCCTACCCTTTGCGCAGCGTCCGAGTCTGTGAAACAGGCGAACCCAAATCCTTTCGATATTCCGTACTCGTCCACCATGACCTTGGATGAAGGAAGGAGAATCAGCTCTGTTTTTAGTAAGAGTTTGCAACACATTTGGGTCTTATGAACTCCGAAGATAAGAGGTGTTAAAAGGGAGTAGCAAGCTCGAAAAAGAAGGAGGAAAGACGATGATGACAGATGTTGGATAGGAAAGAAAGGAGCAAATTACACCAGCGTACCCGCCAACTACCAGCTTTGGGCACATCCACATCATAACATTATAGCTCATCCTTCAACTAAAACATTATAAGATAATTTCTGCTGTGCAGTGATATCAACATTAACAAACGATACCCAAAACTTCGTCTAGAAATTGTTCGGAGAACAGAAACAGTAAGAGAAATAGAAGGACCTCTAGAAGTAAGATAAAGAGAGTATATTAGTATCGTAGAGTTTTTTACGGCGCTCGCAATTGCATAAGGTCATATGAGCGCCAAGGGGTGGGTGTCAACAGAGAAGTCTTTACAGGGAATCAGACCTAGACTGCTCACCTCTCTAGCTTCAACAGCACACGGTCTGCTTCGACTATCAAGGCACCCCAAAAAAGCAGGTCACAAGAGAGTGACAAACATACAAAAAAAGTAGAGGAAAATGACAATAGTAAGGATCAGGAAAGAAAAAGCAGC